TCTGGATTATAGTCCCCTTTTATAACAACCAAACTTGGCAGGCAGATCTCTTCCACCAACAGTTAATCTAGACGAAACATTAGAACATTACCTCCATTTCTTAATCAACTCCATTAGGATCTTGAACTCCATTTTGAATCAAATGTTATCAGATAAAATGGAACGGAGGAAGTACATAAAAAACTAGTTAAAGCTAATATATTAGTTGCAAAGTTATACATTGTAGTTCTAAGAATGGGATCCATTTCAATTTAAGGAACATTCCATATCTCCCCTTTGATAGTTTATATGAAATTTTGATTGTATAGGACTAAAGAAGACGCTTCAGAATTAAATTCTTCATTCGAGTCACACCTATTACCTCATTGGCAGAGAGACTCAAGACCTATTACCTCATTGAAATTTTCTTTTAAAGAAACATCAATTAACTTTTTTGTAATCTCAAACTAATTGGAAATGGCTATATGAATCCTCTTGCATATACACTAACTGTCAACCTATCACAAACTCTCTCTTTTATTCAGTTTTAGGACTGGCTATACTCTGACGCTCATAAATGCAGAACTTCTTTTCTAAATGAGAAAATGAACTAAGATAAAATAAAATACTATTGGGATTCTGCATTGACTTGATGCTCAATTAAAGAAGGAAAAGCTTAATCCAGATATGGTTAATATAGTCTAAAATCTACAATCGCCAGTACAATTTCTAAGGTTTTTTTTATTTTATATTATCACATAAATTAATCAAGAAATAAGCACAATCAGCACTCTTAGATACAAAATTTTGAAGCTAATTGGAAAAACCAAAACTTTCACCACACTTATTGACTTGAAGATAGAAGCAGTTTTTAATTCCCAAAACAGATAGCAATTCAGTTACAGACTAAAAGATAATTTAACCCCCAAAAACAAATATATAACAAGAATGACAGAAAAATAGTCTCAAAAGAGAAGAAGGAACAGATTATTATAGCCGACAATTCAAGAATGATCAAGTCCATTACAAGAACGAAAATTTGGATAAAAACCAAAATTCAAGAAATTAATTCAAGATATTACTAGAACAAGAAAATGAAGCTACTGAGAGAAGTAGAAATTAGAAAAAAAGGGGGACTCACAATCCTTGGTAAACCACAGAATAATGAGCTTCACTGATAATAGGCCCAATTGAAAGCTGCTGTAAATCGATCAGTAGCTTCTTGTCAATACTGATAGTAACATTTTGGGCATCAAGATTGTCACCCTTTGGACCGTCGATAAGTTTCTCTGATGGGGTAGAGAGAGAACGTTCAAGATTTGGAATACCCTTTTCATCAGCCATGGATATTAAGCAAACTGTTGCATTAACTGAGAGAGAGAGAGAGAGAGAGAGAGAGAGAGAGAGAGAGAGTGTGGGTGTGTTTTGAGTTTTTTCTTATCAGAGGGTGTGGGAGTGGCGTTGTATTTGAATTTGAGTTAGAGATACAAATGAGAGAAATAAGAGGGAAGAGCGGTTTTAATCATCTATCTTACGTATTGATGGAAGAAAAGTTGCTCGCGTTCTGCGTCGTCGCCACGTGTACAAAAAAAGACTGTTTTACATTCTTAAGAGCTCAATTGTAAAAGGTACGTACTACAAAGATTTGAGATTTGTCAATTACTATTATAGCCTCTTTGACCGCGCTTCTAGAAAACTTATTTTGTAAATCTTCTTTTTTTCCAAAACATGTCTTTTACGGATAGATCCAAACATCTCTATCCTTTTCGTCATGTCCTTGGCACATGTGACAATTATCACCTCTACCACGTCCTTTTTTATGTTCCTTATTATCTCGAATTCATACTCTCCGTTTCAATTTATGTGAACCTATTTCTTTTTTATTCCGTACCAAAAAGAATGACATCTTTCCCTATTTGGAAATAATTTACCTTTATGCAATGATTTATAGTCATACAAAATATATGTGCCTCATTTTACATCACAAATTCAAAAGTCTTCTCTCTTTTTTTAAATTCTGTGTCCAGTCAAATGAGTTCACATAAATTGAAACGAAGGGAGTACTTTTTTCAAAAGTGCTTTAAAAAAAAAATATTTTTGCTGATATTAGTAAAACATTTGTCGATGCCGAGACGAGGTACCCACACCTCGAGAAATTGGCCTTGGCACTAGTCGTAGCTTCACGAAAGCTTAGACCTTATTTCCAGTGCCACCCAATCTCGGTCGTTACCACTTTTCCTCTAAGAAGAATTTTACATAAACCCGAGTTGGGGGAGGCTGGCTAAATGGGCCATCGAGCTAAGTGAGCACGATATCACATACCAGTCTCGGACAGCGATAAAGTCACAGGTGATCACCGACTTCGTCGCAGAATTTAGCGCAAAAATAATGCCCGAGGTCGAGAAGGAAGCCGCTCAAGCTTCTCTTCAAACACAAGACCTCTAGGTCATGTACACTGACGGTGCATCCAATGCTTTTGGGACTGGACTGGAACTCGTACTCGAGGTCCCTACCGGCGAAGTAACTCGCCAATTCATAAGATGCCCAGATATGACTAACAACGACGCCGAGTATGGGGCCGTAATTGCAGGGCTAAGGCTAGCACTCAAATATGGGGCGAAGCGGCTAAAACTCAGCTTTGATTCTCAGCTCGTGGTTAACCATGTTACAGGAACTTTCCAAATCAAAGAACAAAGGTTGCAAAAATATCAAGTCGAGATCTGTAAGTTGCTTCCCCATTTCGATGAATGCCAGGTCGACCAGATCCCGTGAGCCCATAATATCGAAGTAGACGGCCTCGCCAAATTGGCCGCAGCCAACAAGAGCATCACGACCGGGGATAAAAGCGTAGCCCACCTCCTCAACTCGACATAGACCAAATCGAGGTAAATTCTGTAAGTTTAACTTGGAACTTGCACAATTCTATTATTACCTACTTGCAGGATGGCACCCTCCCAATCGACTAAAAGGAAGCCAAAAAACTAAGAATGCAAGCAGTCAGATACAACCTCCTTCATAATAACTTGTACAAAGAGAACGTATGGTGGCCCTCTGGCGAAGTGTTTGGGTCCAAACCAAACCCAACGTGTTCTCGAGGAAGTCTATAAAGGCCACTGCGACGCTCATTCCGGTGATCGAGCACTCCTTAGGTGCCTCATACGGGATGGGTACTAATAGCCCACCATGAAAAAAGACGCCTAAGAGTTTGTGAAGAAATGTGAACAATGTGAGAAATACACCCCAATAATTTACCAAGCGGGCGAACACCTTCATTCGGTCACCTCTACATGGCCATTTATCAAGTGGAAAATGGACATCGTGAGTCTCATCCCGCCAGTGCGAGGTAATGTACGATTTCTTTTAGTTTTAACTGACTATTTCTCTAAATAGGTGGAAGCAGGAGCATTCGCCCAAGTGCGCGAACAAGAGGTAATCGCCTTCATATGGAAAAACATCATCTGCCAATTCGGCCTACCCAAGGAGATAAGTTGCGACAACGGACCCCAGTTCACGGGAAAGAAAACCGTCGAATTCTTCGAGAAATGGCAAATTAAGAGAATACTTCCAACCCCTTATCACCCAGCGGGCAACGGGTAGGCAGAATCCTCCAATAAGTCCATATTAAACATCATGAAGAAAAAACTTGAAGAAGACAACGGACTATGACCAGAAATACTCTCAGAAGTATTGTGGGCGTACAAGACCACCCCGAAGACGAGCACAGGAGAGACACCTTATTCTCTGGACTACAGAACAGAATCAGTTATACTTGTCGAGGTCGGAGAGCCCAGCCTAAGGTATTCCTATAAAAGCGGCACCAACAATGTCAAGAGTAGAAGGCAAGAGCTCGATCAGATCGACGAACGAAGAGATATGGCGTACATAAAGATGATCGCCCAAAAATAGCAGTCAGAACGTTACTACAACAAAAAGGCAAAGGCCTGACCACTCAAAGTCGGGGACTACTTACTCAAAGCCAACCCAAGCAAGTAGAGATCCATAAGAAGGCAAATTAGGAAGCATCTGGGACTGTCTGTACAAAATTGTAGGTAAGGCAAACAAGGGTTCATTCCAAATAGAGATAATGGAAGGAAAACCAAAACAAATGGAATATCAGCCACCTCAATTAATACTTCAACTTCTAAAAAATGAGAAGCACCCCCAAATCATACTTTTTTTTCCCTCAGTTGAGTTTTGTCCCATTAGGGTTTTCTCAAGGAGAATTTTAATGAGGCGGCAAGAAGGACACTTCGAGTCGAAGTATGCGAAGAACGAACTAATTTCTTTTTCATGACCCGACTCCTCAAGATTCTCCAAGTCGAACAATGAAGGGACTAGATATATCGGGACTGGGACAGGAACGCCAGGCAATGCCCAAAGTTTGTAACTTTCTTCAATTATGTAATCAGAGCAACAACGACAAAGTAATAGAAACTCATATGTATCGAAACTGCTTTAACGAAAGGTTAAGTTTGACCAAGTTCGAACATACCTACTGGCCCTCGGTCGTAACTTAACAAAAGGTTAAGTTCAACCAAGTTCGAACGACACCTACCGGCCCTCGGTCGTGACTTAATGAAAGGTTAAGTTTGACCATGTTCGAACAACACCTATCGGCCCTCAGACGCGACTTAATGAAAGGTTAAGTTCGACCAAGTTCGAACAACACCTATCGGCCCTCGGCCGTGACTTAACAAAAGGTTAAGTTCGACCAAGTTCGAACAACACCTATCAACCCTCGGCCGTATCTTAACAAACGGTTAAGTTCGACCAATGCCTATCGGCCCTCGGCCGTAACTTAACGAAAGGTTAAGTTTGACCAAGTTTGAACAACACCTACCGACCCTCGGTCGTGGCTTAACGAAAGGTTAAGTTCAACCAAAGCTCGAACAAATACCTACTGCCCCTCAGTCACAACTTAACAGGAGGTTAAGTTTGATCAGACTCGAACAAACACCTACTGGCGGTTAGCCACAACTTAATAAGTGGTTAAGTTCGATCAGGCTCGAATAAACACCTATCGGCCCCCGGCCACGACTTAGTAAAAGGTTAAGATCGACCAAGTTCGAGTAACAACCACACCCTAACTAAGAAACATTGACCTATATAAAAGGACCAATACGGCCCACGGCTATTCGGCTCAAAGGCCACGATCAGCTAAAAGCCGACAACAATAAAAAGGACAAAAACTGAAATGTGCAAGCAACAGAAGCAAAAATATACAAGTATAGAATCAAACCACATGAATGAAAGAAGGTACAAAGAACAACTTTGATATTTCATATTTAAATAAAGAGTTTTTTTACAAAGGCTCTTGAAGAAGCTGACAAAAATACACAAAAAAAAGTAAAAAGAAAACTGCTGGCCATCACCATTACGACCTTCAACATCCTCATCAGCTGTCTTCAACGACGTCACCACCCTGACCATCAACATCATCATCGTCTCGGCCCCCAGTATCCTCTCCATCCTCGCCCTGAGGGTAAACAAAATCTTACCAGGCGTCCTCCTCAAGGTGATCTATGCCCTCCTCCTTATCCTTCTTGGCAAGACGAGGCATTGTAAGGTCATAACGATAAGTCAGCTGAGCCCCGTGAGCCTTAACCCGAGCATCCTCAAGACTCATCTTAGAAATGGAGCTCATTCATGGAACACATCCAGTCGGGACTCGGCATGGATATACTCTTCGTAAAACTCCCAAGGGACGTTGGGGAAGTTAGAAGCATTAGACGAAGAAGGCTGCGCAAGCAGTTGGTCTTTCTCGGTCTCTAGAGCGGCAACTCGATCATAAAGATTAGAGGTTTCCTTGTCTGGCTCCCCAATCCTCTCCTCAAGCCGGTCTTCCTTAGCCCTCGTCGTTGACAGATCGTTCTCCCCCTTGGAACGAAGGGTTTGGTTCGCGAGCTCATGCATCTCCACTTTCCTCCGAACATCTAACCGATAAGACTCCGCGTGCTCGAACTCCTCCTACTTCTCTGCAATTTCACCCCTAAGAGCCTCCATCTGAAACTGGCACTCAACTAACTGGCCTTGCAGCTAGACCACCTGAGCTTGAAGGTCGCTGCATTGGGCCTCCACTCCCTTAATAAGCTCCAACTCCTCTTCCTTGGCCTTCATCGTTCCCTCAAGGATGCTGAATTTCTCCATGGCTGCCATCAACTCCTCGTCTTTCTTCTTGAAATATTCTCTTAAGGCCCCATGTTTCCTCCCTCATGAAGCCGATCCTGTAGCTCCTGGTACTTCCCGCAGTACTTGGTGTACTTTCCTTTCAACTTCACAAAAATCTCTTTACGCCTCTTGTCCCTCCGAGCACTCTCAATTTCCAAAATAATCGTCTACAAATC